CTAAGAGTGAATGGAACACGAAAAAAAAAAAAGAAACAAAAGGCAGGGGGAAAAAAAGAGAGAGAGGGAGAGAGAGAGGAAAGGAAATGATTAATGTATGTTTGCATCAAAGCCAAGCACCCTGTCTATACTTGCTCTCCAGGAGAAAAAAAAAATACATGAAGCAACTGCAAGCTGCCAGCAAGAATATCCATCCCCTGAGGCAGCGAAGATTCCTGTCCTCCCACAACATGAACTGCACTCTTGTCACAGGCAGAGTCAGCGCACTAATTTACATACACCCCGATGACACTGCGATAACACCCATTCCCCTAATACAAACCTTCTCCACATGCCTCCTGGCGTTACCTCTCTGTTCTGGCAAAATGTACTCAAAATTACATTTTTTGTATTAAAACAAAAACGATCTTTGTCTTGCTGCATCATTTTTCTGAACAAAGATACTGACAATGAATGAAAAAAATATATACAAAAGTAAGAAAGAAATCACTGCAAAATTTTGGCTTACAGACCAGATCTTGTAAGTGTCTACAAGATCTGCTAGACCTCACCCAACGCTAGTACCTGCAACGACCATGGCGCCTAACCTGTGTGATGACATCTGCAAGTGCATCATCTACGAAAGGGCGTACGTAAGCACTGACCAGAACAGATTTTTCAGCATGCTGAGAATTTTCTTCAGCCGATCAATCACAACCCATACACATTCATTGGGCATTAGTCAGATCTGTCACATGCCCATTCAGATAGCTAAGACCCTACAACCCCAAAGAGAAAAGCAAACCATACAAAGCGGGGTCATCCTCAGTACCACAGACACCAGAGGCCTACGCCTTATCCTAAAATTAAAAAGGGCAGAGTTGTCATAATCGCTAAAGCGGGAGGAAATTCTTCAAAAGCCACAGAGCAAACAAGCAGAGGATTGGAGAAACGCGGCGCTAATCAGGATTTAGATTCTGAGTCAGAGCATATTAGGATTTTCTGTCTGGAAATATTCACATGAAAGCGGCAATCTGGATAATAAATGTCATGTACAAGTACAAAGGCTTTCCCTGCACACATACAACATTGGCATATGAGGGTTACACTCAGAGCCTTCATAACACCCCCAGGTTAGTACATCACACAGGGGGTCCCTCTACCCATATCGCCGCCATAGACAGAAGCGACACTTTCTGTGACTTTGAATCTACTGCAGGCCATAATACAAGCAGGCAGACTACTGATAATCCCTGTAGAAGCAGAACATAGAGATAAGATTAAGTAGGCATAGGATTACCCACATACCTTTATCTACATACTGCCAGGGCACATCCATGCACATCACCAATGCCCATTGCCAATGCCCTGGAATGGCCCCTTCTAGTTAGGAGCAAGCACAGTCCTGTCACCTCTATGGATATATTGTTATATATATATACACATTGTATACACTAGATAGATGTCTTCATATTCTGCGCACATGCATTCTAGGATACTTGCACTGTCTGCACTGGGTTCATTGTCCAATGTCCAGACATCTCTCTATAGGGATAAGTCTATGATCGGGGAGAAGGCTTCTACAGGTGACACTGGTGTGTATGAATAGGTAGATGACTTCCCCCGGTGACACCACCCCTATACCTTGTCCCTGGAGCCTGGACCGTGCAGCCCTTCATCCTCCGTATGACGCAGCGCTCAGCGGAGAATCCAAAGCTGTGTGTATACCGGCGCCGCCCGCCTGCCCGCCCGGCACACTCATCCACGGCTCCGGAAACTCCTCTCACTCCCAGACAACGTCACTGCACATGAAGGCGGCATCCCCGGCATCCCATTAGAAGTGCACGATCCAGCCGCTAGCTGGTGCTGTCTGTGTGGAAAGCTGCCCATACACCGCTACAATTTCCTTCGCATAGCCTGCTTTTTCCGAATGTTCCTTTCATTTCCTAATGGCCAGAGGGGTCTAATCAATGTTCGTTTGCGAGGGAAATAGAGGGCATTGGATGGAAAATTGTCGTCTTTTCTAAAGCTCCCCATACACCGTTACAATTTACTCCGAAAATTCGTTCGATATTCTAATTGCTTATTGGGGTCTTTTGAACGAAAAACATATGATAGTGTATGGACAGCTCGTTTCCAGCGTTTGATTTTGACCGCAGCGACCAGGAAAGTGGAAGGAGCTAGTACAGTTTTGTTAGAATAAAATCGTTTTCGGGACATTCATTTAATTCTATAATAGGTGATGGGGTTCAGTCAGTGATCGTTTTCGACCATTGTGATTTATAAAAAAAAATCAAAGGCGCTGGATGGAAACGCGTACAAAAGCCCAATGCGTACACATGCTGATTGAATTGCACTGCCATCACTCTTGATGACAGTGACTGTGGTTTTTGGTCAGGAAACTGCATTCATTCCAAAATCGAATGTTGACTCAAAACAAAAATTTACCCGAAATTTCAAACATTAATCGCCAAGTCTCTGGTGGAATGATCGAACGTTCCAATGGGATTTTTCGTACCCGTGTATTCCCTGCTTTATCTTAGGAGCCCGGGCTTATGTGTCAAAGCCAAATAAAGGGCAGTCATTAGGTGTCATCAATAAACAGCTTTGCAGCAGGAGTCTATTGATGACACCCACTGACTACCCTTTTTGTGGTTAGCTGCCGAACTCAAGCCATTGGGCCGAAACCTAGACAGCCCAACCCAGTGGCGGAACTAAGGAACAAAGGGCCCTGGTGCAAGATTTTTTTTTTGCCCCCCCCCCCCACACACAAACACAGCGCTCTCCTCCCGCAACGCTCGGCCGGCTGTCACTTTCTTTCCTCCCTGCTGGGAGGAAAGAAAGCAGGGATGCGTTGCTGTATCGACAGAAAAATGGCATTATTGCTCTCACCGAGACGTTCAAGGTCGATATGTAACATGTGCAGCGCAATTGTTGTTTTTCGCACGTAGGCGCTCCGACGCGTATGTATCTGGGGGGCGGGGGACTGAAACATTATTTTTATTTTTTATGTTACATTCATTTTTAAACACTTTTTTTTTTTTACACTAACCCTATTGGTATTACATAGGGGACTAACAAGCACCCTGTGTAATAGCAGATAGGGTGTGACAGGTCCTCTTTATGGAGGCATCAGGTGCCTTTTAGACCACCTAATGTCACCTATAGACCCAAAACAAGCTGAGGAAGCCGAGATCTGCTTTCCCAGCTTCTTGTCCTGGCTCCGGAGACTGTGTACAGTGACACCGGAAGTGATGTAATACACAGCACTTCCGCGTCCAGTGATCGGAGGAGAGATCAGCGGCTGGAAGCGGCCGAATCTCTCTCTGATCATTGCGGGGAGACCCACCGACCCAGTGGCCGCTGCGGTGGTACCACACCGTACAAACGATCAGGTGACTGTTCAGACACCAGATTGTAAGTTACACAGCAATCGCCTGCTGTTAAAAGCAGTACCAAGAGGTCGGTTGCCGGAGCAGCCGTGTTCTTGTTTTACCCACTTCTGCAGGCCACCGTCTAAAGACATACTGCGGCCCGGAAGTGGTTAAAGGGACATTAAAGTAAATTTTTTCCCCCTCCCCCCAATGTAAATGTCAGCACTAACCTTAACTGATGTCTCCTAATCCGATCTTCTTCTTTCCTGATGTTTTCATCTGTCCCTCCAGCGGTGCGGCGGCGTCTCCGATCCAGCGCTGACTCCTCTATCATTGTTGGCACTTCCTGTCCCACGGTGTCTACACGCGTCCATAGACTTACCTTGTGTCTCTCCTCGTCTCCTGGCCGAAAATCCGAACTGCGCATGCACCCGCCCCAAGATGCTTTGCGGCCGCCTGAGCAGTTTCGGATTTTCAGACGGGAGCACACGGCCAAGATGGGGTAAGTATAAACCGCGTTAAAGCATTTTTTTCCCAACTTTTTGCATATATCTACTGCTTGCTGCCCTCATATATGCAAAAGAGCTGGAGGGTTTAATAACCCTTTAATACTCAGCTGATCCCTGGAACGACCGACAAGCGCAGCGTCCCGAGTCTCACGCTGTCAGAATATGCATACAGAGCGTGTCGGTTACTATTTAAACCGGCGCGCTGTGTGCAGCTTCTGAGAAGATACGCTATTAGCGTAGCGGGGAAGCCTGTTGCGCATTTTGCATCGCTCCTAGTCTGCTATCCAGCGGCCGGCAACTGTGCTGGGCCCCCCCCCAAAGGCTGAGGCCCCAGTGCTCCCGCACCGGCCGCACCGGCGGTAGTTCCGCCACTGCCCCAACCACCTAGAAAATGGGTCCAGCTCCTCATTCTCACCTCCTATTGGATTTATATAGCCTGGATGGTGCACCTGTCTCTCCCAGGGGGGGGTTACGGCCTTCTTGTAGCTGTGTGCATGAGCTGCATGTAGCTGCAGTGAAGGCCCTTGAGGCACTTCCAGTTATTATGTGACAACGTCTTCTCACATTTGTACTCCTGTGTTGTCACCTTGTCACGCATCCTTTCAATAGAAACTACAACTCACATTATGTACATATTACCGTCAGAAATGCAATGCAACAGTTGCTGGAATGCATACATTCCCCTCATGCACAGACAGGGGACATTTTAATGCAAGTGTTGGCAACTCTGGCCCTCCAGCTGTTGTGGAACTACAATTCCCATGAGGCATTGCAAGAGTGACAGTTACAGGCATGACTCCCAGAGGTATTTTGGTATTTGTAGTTAAAACACAGCTGGAGGGCCAGAGTTGCCCAACCCTGTTATATGTGACCAGCTGAGTACCTGACCAGGCTATATGAATTAAAGGAGAACTATGGGGTTGGGGCTTTTCCCCATAGTTCTCCTAAGGGTAACGGGAGGACACAAACTAGCGTCCTCCCGTCACCCAAAGCTCAGTATACCGCGAGCTACAGCTCGCGGTATAGTGAGACCCCACAGCCGGAGCGGATCCCGACAATTCTGTCTGGATCCAGCCAGCTGCGTGAGCGACAGCTGGCTCTGCCTATCTAGAGGCAGAGCCAGCTGTAACCCACCCCT